TCAAAAAACCTTCACTTGGTATTCTGCGCCTGTTTGTATTTTTTCTCTGCTTTCCCGATTTGTGTGTGTGTGTGTGTGTGTGTGTGTGTGCGCGCAGTTACAATAATGGATCATTATCAACTCGCCCAACTTACCATTCTTTTGAAAGTCGCGTCTTCGCAGCTGTGATGTCCCAAACTCTGAAGTTGCGCATCTGTGTATGACCAGTACTGCTTAAAGGTGGGGCCTAACCTAATTAGGCACCGTTGTTCAGATTTCCGTATACTGAATTGCGAGGGTTCGATTAGCAAGTATACGTCGCCCCATTTACCGAACCTGTGTCCGTAAGTATAAACTAATTTCTTTACCCTTTATTTTTAGGGAACCAGGCAGAAACTTTCCCACGAATTACTCGATGCATCTTTTTTTTTGTTTGCCTTGTGGTATGCAATGGTGTCTAGTTGCCATACAGAGAAAGTAGAGAGATTCGGCTGCTTACTATAGTATGGATGAATTTCGTTAGCATTTTTTAGGGAACTGGGGAGAACCTCTCTTCGAACTAATTATTCATTCATACGTTTGTTTGTTAGCCTTTGTTAGTCTGGCAACAATAGCGTAGTGATGCTATTCAGAGAGAAAGAAATAGATGGGAAGAGGGTCCCCATAGACAGATAGAGAGAAAGCGAGAGTGGGTGGGGAAAGAGGGGGTTTGTCAGGGGGCTATTAGGCGCTCTCCAATGGCCGTTCTCAGCCCTCACCTTCGCCGCTGGCGGACTCATTTTCTCTCTCGGCTTTGTTTTTCGGGAGCGCGTGGACGCTACTGCTTCCGCGCGTATTTTCTGCGTGTGCAGCCTCCTCGCTCTCTCGGCCTCTTCGTGCGTGAACGCACACGCCGTCTTGGGCTTCATTATGAAGAAGGGGGGGGGGGGGGCGACAGCCGGCGTCAAACATCGCTGCGTTGGCGCCCGCGTAATTAAAGTGAGCCTTGGTCTCTGCAACGGCCCAGCCCGTGGGACGGAGTGCAGTTTGGGCCTCTTGCAGAGGGCGGTGGGTGCGGGAAGGTGTTTCTGAGGGCGCCGTGTTGGTTTTCGGGGTGGCTTGGGCAAACATGGTGCCCCCTTTGCTATTTTTTTTTTTCAGTTTTTTAGTGGGCTAGCGATCAGCGATAATGGTTTGGAGACCGGTGCGGTCTGCGCTGGCTTCGATGTGCGGTGTACCGTGGTCATTTAATAAAGGCCGTAATTGGACCATACCGCGCTGGACTTTCTTAAGGGTGAAGAGGGGTTACCATCGGCTTTGTAAAAAGTGCGAAGGTTGTGCTTTTGGCGCCTGTGTTATTAACATTAAATAGGCGCATTGGTTAATAAATGGTTTCAGCTTGGCAGTGCCCGTTCGCCTATTTTACCAGAACACTGAAATATTTGTTACGTAGGCGTGAGCTCTGGAGGCGCCATGTGGTGATGTCGAGTTCCAACGAAACCGCACTTCGCTGTTCAATGAGCCGAACGCCTGAAGGCGTGGACGAAGGAAAAATAAATGAGGGTGCATTACGTCACTCGAGTTGAAGGCCCGTGTGGGCCCAACACGTGACGAAGACGTCAGAGCGTGTGGTAGCTTTTAGTACTCTCACTGGCGTTCCGTTTATGAACCTTCTGCGTGAGCAGGCCGGTCTGTGCCCGAAGAAGCGCGTTCCAGATAAAAGCTACCAGGCGCCACACTTGGAACTTTCCGCAAGTCTCGTTGTTTGCGTAACCTTTATGCAGAAGGTCACGTATTGGGCCGAAACTGCTGGCTTCAAAACAGGTTGGCTTGCAAAGTGCGACCGCGTGACGTCATTCTCCCTGCATTTTGTTTTTTCCTCTATACCCAAAGACCGGACCACACGTGCGCGTTAGGGCCCGACAGCGCTTGGCTTTTTGACGTGGCGCTGCTCCCTCTCTCCCTGTGGAGAGAGAGGAGGGGGGAGGGAAGCGCAACTTCGTTTAGCTGCGCGCTCTGACGCTTACGTCTGGTCAGACCTTGAGAAGCCGCACGAAACGCAAAAAGGTTACCGTGACAAGCGATGTTCGAAATCGTCATCGCCCCGTTGATGTCACAGGTTGCGAAAACTGTTGACGTCATCGTGGCGTAACGCGATTACGTTGTTACACCGTCGCCCGGTCATAGGGGGCTGCTCCTGTAGGCGGGGTGAAACTTCGCTGACTTCGCAAAGATTCAAGAAAAGTGGGTAGGGGGGGGGCGTGGTTGATACAATCGATCGAGAGAAAAATGGCGGCCATTCCTGAAAATCTGTGCAGGCGACATCAAACTTTAAAGCTCCAGCCGACATTCTTGGCAGAAATTAGCTTAGTTCGACGCCGTGATGATCATACCAAGGATAGGCATAGTGGGTGCTAGGCCCTTTTACTATAATTCACGCGAGGCAGCAGATGCGTATACATAAGCTTCGTAACCACGTGCTCCACCGTTCAAGACGACCGTGATTCCGCCTGTACGCCGGGGTCCACTTGTTGATGCAGTCTTTGTGTAAGAGTTACGCGCACAGCAAAAACTTCTCCTGGCATAGTTCTTAAGTGTCATTTTAATCGCAATATCCGAGTAGTGACCGAAAAGACATTGAGCACGTTTCATCTTTCGCCTGCTCGCTCCGAAACTTCCACCCCAAGTTAGTGTATAAGAGCGCGACCGACACAGAGCGGTAAATGCATATATGCTGTGAGAGTTTCCGCTCGCGTCTCTTCTGTTCAATGCTTCTCAAGAACCCGACGGGATGCCGCTGTGCGTGTTTTAGAGCGCTCTTTAGACATCCCCCCCTCCCACCTTCCTCCCCATGTTCCGAGCTCTTGAGAGTTTTTTTTTTTTTCTTACTCTCGCATGCTTCCGCGCTTTTTCAAACCGCGAGTTGATCAGAGGTTTACAACCGCGTAATATGATCACCCCTCTAAACACAGCACTTTTCGCGCTCTCCGTATCTTCCTTATTTATTTGTTCTTGTTTTTTTTCCACTGCGCTCGCACGTACTTTCAGCTTCGTCGCGGTATCTCGTATGTTCTCTTGCTTTCAGTTGCTTGCTTCGATTGCTAATCTTGTCTCGAGCACGCCATCGAGTGAGTGATACGTCGAGTCATCTTTGATGTACCGAAACGGCTTATCCGCCAACTTTCTCTTTCTTTCTTTCTTTCTTTCTTTCTTTCTTTCTTTCTTTCTTTCTTTCTTTCTTTCTTTCTTTCTTTCTTTCTTTCTTTTACCTCAACTCGCTGGGGAAATTAAATCGAGCCACGTCGAACTTGCACGGCGATGCGTGGCTCATTAATCAGGCGAAGATGGAAGCATATCTCCCCGCGCGGGTTTATGAGCACCGTCATGAGACAGTGAGGAGGAGGCGAGAGGCTATACCCAGAGGAATCGGGCGTAATTTTGGTTGGAGAGAGAGAGATTTTTTTTTTCATAAATGCGGAAGGCACAGTGAGCTCTCGGGGAAGATTAACGACGATGTATTGGCGCAAGAATGGATGCGAAAAGGCTCGGCGCTTGATAATGATGATCCCAGCCCCGCGTAATGACGCTTTAATTCACGCTAGAGCAAAGCTGTACGACCGGAGAACTTGGCGCGATGAGGCTGCGCGTAAGAACGTATGCGTTTTTTTTTTTTTTCTCGCGAGAACACGTTCGCTATAGAACGCCTTCCCGAAGCCACTGTTTCGACGGCGACGCGGCTTTAATCTGTCTTTCCGTTTCGGGTGAGTGGTTTCGTTGTTTCGAGCCGCCGAGATGTGCGTGGCTGTTTTAACGAATGCCGTTTCCACTTTCCGCCAACGACGATGATGATGATGATTGGGATGATGATTATCTATGTTAGTACTCTTGTTTAAACGGTTTGGCAACGATAGTACACTCGGACCTCATTATAAGAAAGTTGCACCTTACACGAAAATAAATGTGTTATATCCGGAAATTTGTTTTAAACGTATATTCCTAACACTATGTTTATTGCGAGAAATCTTCATTTTGTTATAACCGATATTTCATTATATCCTGGTTTTATATAATGGAGGTTTGAGTGTAGCTACTTGCCCGGTTTGTGATCGTGCTCTGTTACACCTTCTGCACTCAGCCAGTTTGGCTGTCTCGTTGTTTATTGGTCTTCAGGTTCTTTCTTCGTGCAAGCGTACAGACGGGCCCACAGTTAAAGGGAACACTTGCGTGCAGGTCGTATATGAATTTCGCTCTCCTGCAAAAAGCAGAGTCGCGTAGATTTGCATAACACTACTGGACGTCGGTAGCCATCAATCCTTCCACAGACCCGTTCTATACGTATACAATCTTTCCAATAGCGCTTGCTGTCAGAAGGCCAGCAATATAAAAAGTGCTCATTCGAGTGTTCCCTTTAAGAGTTCACCGCAGTGTACATTTCTTCTGTTGCCTGCTCGTTAAACGACGGCTGCTGTGCCTGTGGCTGACTTTTGTCTCGCTTGCTGAATAAAGATACAGAGCGATTTAACTAAATATGGGCGCACGCCACTTGCGTGCATTGCTATGGCTTGTCACCTGTTCAGTACATCGCGTTGTTCGTGGAAACTACAAACCAGCTTGCGTCGGTGTATTCAAGTAAGAAACAGTCATAGTGAAGACAGTTCCGAAGCAAATTTGAGAGAGAGAGAGAGAGAGAGAGAGAGAGAGAGAGAGAGAGAGAGAGAAATACCATTTATTTATACATTTGGTGTGTAGGAAGTCCCCGGCCTCGCAGGGCGCGGACCTTCCCTATCTTAAAATTGCGGCTATTAGAATTCGATAATGTCAGAGCCTAGACCTCGAGGATGTTGTGCTTCGACTAGGCGACTCCGGTGCCTCCGCGCCCGTTAGTGGGCTCTGTCTCAATGGGGCAAGGTTTTCTTTCTTTGCTTTTGCTCGGCTAGTGCGCGCCTTCGTCTCGACTTGCCTCTGTGTCGTGCTCATCACTGCACACACACCTGTGCCGCCATACCTGTGCTCAGTCGTCTTGACCGCCTACTCTGTCGCAGAACGATGAACTCACCGGTGGGCAAGGACCAGCCTGACCCGGACGCCATCAAGATGTTTGTCGGCCAGATTCCGCGGTCGTGGGACGAGACCGACCTGAAGAAGATGTTCGAGGACTTTGGGCCCGTCTACCAGATCAACGTGCTCCGGGACAAGGCCACCGGAACGAGCCGAGGTCTGTGTCTCTCTCTCCCTCCTTCTCGTCACGTGTCACCTCCTTTCTTTCAGGCGGCCGTCTGGAACTGCGTACGCTCCTCGATGCCGTCGTATATGTGTGTATTATGTACGTGTTATTATTCGCGGATCAGCGAAAAAAACTATAAACGTCCGATTTCGTCTCAATGGGTCGTATCTTACTGTTAGACCCCTAGCTGACGTCAGTGCGGTCCTGGGTATACTTGCAGGAAGTGGCAGGATAGCGTACGTGAAGCCTTAATAAATGCTAATTACCGATTTCATTAATTAACTAAGATGACATTGATGTGCCAGGGTTCGAAAGATGCTACAGGGTAACGTAAATTAGGTTTTGTGCAGCTACGATCATGTCACACAGGTGCCTGGAAAGTTTCACGTAGCTGCAAGATCCAATAAGCTTCCATGAATGAAGCTGACGTCATAGGTGTGCCACAATGTCTTCGCGGTATAGCAGGCATTAAGTATTTTCCAATGAATCAATATATTGAATCAATCAATAAAGCAAGTAAACAAGGAAATGAACCTTTATTGCTCCACAAAAAAGTGAGGGTGTGATAGGGAAAAAATAAGGCGCAGCTTGCAGCTTGACAGTAACTTGGTGTGTGGCACAAATAAGGGCGGCATTTTTTTTATGGCAATATAATCGGTTATTCCCACGCAGTGAAATTGCCGGGTGTTATTTTCGGCCCATTAATTGGGGGGGGGGGGGGGGGGGGTAGTGACGCATGAGAAGTGGCGCCTCGTTAGGTAGGCGTCACGTACGTATACGCTTGAATGCAACAGCGTGACGGAAATATTGGAATTGAAATTATCATTGCTGTAAAGGACTACGCACCGATCTTCGTGGAAGATCACCTGAATATTGACTGGAGCTGCTTTAAGGTAACTTTTCGTAGTGCATCGTGGAAATTTGATGAGGGAACAGGAGGTACAAGAACGAGCCCTGATTTGATTTCAGGACATTGCAGCGGCCGTAACCACATTTTGGAGCAGCAGGGTGGTAGGAACCACTACAACATGCATTTCGAAGCATATATTTACTGCAGCTTATAAAAATATGCAAATGATAATTAACCTGAACTTTGATGACTGGGACCGTGCGCTTCGTTGACACTTTCTAGGGTCTGGTTGTGGACCTCCTGTAAGTATCTCGAAGTAAAGCTTACGCGTTATCCCGAAGTCTTCCAGCATGCACAGCAGCTTTATGTTTACATTTTTTTTAGAAGCGCAGCTGTTTTTAGACTTGTCGTTGCGCCGGGTAGTGCGTAGAGGAATTATGATCATCACGAGCCACGACGCGCTCGCTTCGTCGTCTACTTCAACTGTCTCTTCACTCCCATAACACGCGCGCCCATTTGTCCAGTGTGGAAATACGGTATAACTACTTATGAGCGAGTCTGTTACGTGACAAAAACATGATCAGGTATCGTGAAGTAACGACTGTTCCCTAGACTTAAAATCGCGTAACATCACGCAACGTGTAATCACGTGACCAAAACAGTTGCCTAATAGTGTGTCGTGTGACTGAAATCGCGCAACATGGCGTAATAGCTAACCACGAAAGACGTTCCGCCGTATAACGGCTATTCATGTGATACGTTGTCGCCCCCCCCCCCCCCCGAAAAAAAACAACAAAAAAACGGATACTGCTCTAGTCACGTGGCTAAAATCACGACATCACACAACAGGTAATCACGTGACTAGTGCAGCCATTCCTAGCCATGCTTAGCACTACACTCTATAAAAGAAAAACTTTGCCTGCCTATAGCTAAAACTTGCCATTACTAGCAAAACTGCTTTGGGATCCAGCCTTGCGCCGCTGGTGCAAGCTGCGAGTGTTTTCGTGTATTCCTATTAATCGATCATTTTCTTATCGATGCATTTCGCAAGGACCTTATAAAACGTCTCCGAAAGAGACCATTGCAATCGTAAGAAGCTGGCAATACGTCGTGGTTTCGGCGACCCTTACAAAGAGACAGCTTCGGTCATTTTTTTTTTTTTCGAGGGTGTTCTCTTCGAATTAGCGTCGCGATGTAACCTCTCGCAAACCGCGGAGCGCCGTTCGTTTTCTGTGACGCTCGCGGTGAAAGAAATAACCGCCGTCCATGGCAGAAAAGCAACGGCAACTAACAATAATAAAAAAACGAAACTGCGCAGAAACAGCGTCGCGTTTGTCTCTGGTGTATACGGGACTGTGTCATTTCGCCGGAGGAAAATTGAAACGCTATAGAGTTGTGCCTGCTTGCTTTCGAAACTGGAACTTTTCGACGAGAGAAAACGAGACGGTCGACGGAAAATATGAGATGGGCAGAACACCGGAACGTTAGAAAAAGGGCACTTGGCTGAAGAAGAGCACGGGAGAGTCGAACATTCGTTCTCTTTCTTTCTTTTTAACATCAAAGCGTGATGATGATGATGTCTTATTATATCCCTTTTTTTTTTTGTCGGGTTTTACTTCTTCGCCGTAAGTGCGCTGTGGCAAAGTGGCGTCGCTTCGTCTTCGAACCGTGGCTGCTGCACTCGCGGAACGTTGTCATCGTTTCGCGGGTGACAAATTGCCCTCGGAAAGAAATTCCCCGTGGGGGCCTTGTTTCTTACAGCTTTTTTTCCCCCTCTTTTCGCCGTTAACGTTCTGTCTTCGAATTACTTTGTAATTCTTTCTGCGTATCGCGCTTTCTTCGTTCAACTCCTCGAGTCCGAGCACACGACTACTTTGTTTTATCACACCGTCCTCGTGCCTTCTTTCACCCTTTGCTTCTTGTCTTAGTCGCCGTTCGTTTTGCGGGCTGCCGCTATACGGGTTGAGCGGAGCTTGACTTTATTTGCGATGGGAGTAATGTCTTAGTAGTATACCACCTTCACTGTCGTCACAAGGCTGATTTGTTAATAATTATGGTATAGTTCTTCTTGGCATACTTGAATGCAGTAATTTTGGTCTGTCTGTTTGTCTGTCCGTTTATCTCCTCGAGGGGATTCAGCCACCTGGCCAAAGTTTAAGCACTTGCTCAACGCACAGCCATCTTGATCGGGTAGCCGTGTTCATACTTGTAAACATTGTCGATCAAAAAGCAAATGCAACGCATATCTGAGGCGCATCGTCAATACGCGAGTCCTTGAGGTGCGTTCCTTCATTTAATAAATGCGTAGATACGTAATTCTAAAGACCCTGCAATATTTCTTACGCAGCGCTGAGAATGGGACGTTGTGCGCGAAAATGCGGATGTTTCCTACGCTTAGGCACTCTAGCTTAGGCACTCTAGCTTAGGCACTCTAGCTAGGCACTCTAGCTTCGCTAAGACTACACTGTGCTGCCACCTTCCAGTGGCACTGCGTTTTACGGAAGCCTTCATTTACCCACATTACGATATAGCGTCCATATCTCCCGCAGCCCCTCCAGATTATCGTGTTTCGACGATGTTTGCACAGAAGTATGCAGATACGCGGCCATTTTTTGAGTTCGTTTGTTCTTTTTTTTTTTTTGCTAACTGTCTCGCCGTAGAATGTCGCACCGTTGTCCGTCTGCGTGGACGTCCGCCAGCGATCGTGTGTAACACGCCTACTTGTGTTACTGGGTATACGCTGCTTTTGAAAGTGGTAAATGCAGTAACTTTAGCGCCCACCTCTTAATAGAGTTACCGTATATGCTACCTTTAGGTAGCGAATTTTTGCGTCCTGTCTTCCGAACGCCGCTAGCAGCCGCGCGTTGCAGAGAAGCTGATGGTTGAGCCATTTACTGCATTTTTTAAAGGCTGTTACTGTATTAACGCTAGTCATCGACAGGCTTGCTAATCACCGGTTTTCGACGCGCCTAACATGTCGATGTGTCACGGTACTCGTATCGCCTGCGTAAACGGTGTGTGGCTTCGCCGCATAGCCGTGGTTCTTGACGAGACGAACACACAACTTTACTACCTAAAGATATACACCAAGTCTAAGCTTCTATATTTCCGTTGACATTGGAGCCATAAGTCTACCGCTGCTATGACTCTGATACTACTAAAGATACGTCAATTGAACCATCATCATCATCATCATCATCATCATCATCATCATTTATTAACCCTTAAGGACCCTACATAGAGCGTTACAACAGGGGCGGGGGAAGGGTTGTTACAGAGTTGAAATGAGCCATAGTTCAGCGAATGCTTAGAACGAAAACCCAACGATGTTGGGTTTTCCGGGGCTTGTCATTGTCAGTTCGGTTTGTGAAGAAAGAAACCCAGGGTATAGTAGAAGGTGTGAATCACTTTGGAGGCGCTGTGGGTGGGAGTATAAACCGGACAGCAAAGCTACCGCAGAGCCAATAGTCTTCGGGTCAGAATACGGCCCCTGAATAACGTGTAATCCCTTCGAACCCGAGGTCTATGACTCAGAGATTGGTACGAACTTTTGTTACTATGATGAGAACAAGCGTATACGCAATGAACGGATACAGGAACCCGCCAAACTTCTGTGGCTCCACGTTCTACAGAGAGCTGTTCTAGTAATTACGCGATTCGCTGATGACTTGTCCCACTAATGGTACTAGTGCTTTAGCGACGAATAAACGAGTGATTACCCCGAGTACACCGCGATCTTTTAACCGCTCTCGATTACTGTCATTAGGCGATACAAAAGTGTTTTCCGATGCCTGCCTCTCTGTCTGTTTTTAGCTCTATAGTGAGGTTGCTCACGAGGCACTCGCTATTTACGACCTGTGTGCTCAGGGTGCAGTCTATGGCGCGTGTTTTTTATTTTGCCGTCCGGAAATTAAAAGATATTAGCGTCCCGGGAGTTAGGGATGTATGCATCCCTCACCCCATTCCGCTGCTTTCTTCTTTTGGCTAACTGGTGCTCCGAAACGTGTTATATGAAAGAGCACGTGCGCTCGTTTCTGATCCCCGTTGTTCTTTGCTTTCCGTCACCGCCGCCAGGCGTCGCTGCCCGCTGAGAAAAGTGCGCCATTAGGGAGAGGTAGCGCCTTAGCCTCGCACTTCCCCT